CTCGCCCGCGCTACCGCACGTCCAGCCACAGGCTGCGTTTATACCGGCAGCGTTCGCCAGCGACTAATATTGTCCACCAGCGTTCCAGCGTCTGGCAGCTTCAGTGATTAAAAGTATAGATATCGATCTAGCGTCTGCCAGCGTCCACTACCGTTTACCAGCGTCCGCCAACGTCTCGTGCAAAAGCGTCTAGCAGCGTCAGGGAGTGGAGCATATGGCATAAGGCTTTGGCATAACAGGAAGGTAGCGGACAGCTGATAGAGTATGGGGAGATGGGAAGGTGGCAGACTGCGGGTCGCTGGTGGACGCTGGCACACGCTGGCAGGCACTAGATCGATACCTGTACTTCCCTAGCCTTCAAGGTGCCAGTGGAAGTTGGTAGACGCTGGTAGACGCTGGCAGACTCTAGATCGATATCTATACTTTCCCTAGTCGCTGACGTTGCCGGACGCTCGCAACGCTGGTGGACGCTGCCGCAAAGTATGAACGCAGCCTGACCATACTCGAACGCACGATTGTTTGTGCCTCTCTTTTCGGGTTGTTCTCTACCGCTGAGTGCGTGGTGTCGACGCAAGTTCTGCCCATTGAGAATAGCGCGATTTTGGTGTGGGGGACAGCACTCGGGCGTCACTACCCTATGCCCCAGTGCCTGTGCACGAAAAATAGGACGCTCTTGCGATTGCGGGCCCATTTAGGGCGCACATAGCTAGGAGCGTGCTCGGAGCTGAGTGTACAGCTTTTATGAGGCTTTCACCTTCTTTGAGTGAGCTGAGTCAGTTGAAGATAGGCAAAACACGGTGCACATCTACCGAGGAAAAATCAGCCAGTTTGGCGCAGCTTTCACCCAGAAGGTTTATTTTCAGATCTCCTGGAAAAGTCACGTGTCGTCAATCAAGATGCTGGCAATCGAAATTTCCACATCTTCTACCAACTCCTATCGAACGCCTTTCCCAATGAGATGCGCCAAAAGTTGCTGCTCTCCCAAACAGCTGATCGATACAAATTCCTCAATCAGGGAAACGTCTGTGTTGATAGGGAGATCGACGATGTTGCAAATGGACGTCTAACTGATGTAAAGACTCAGATTTCGGTTTTCGGTTTTCGTGGCTCATAATAATGACACCATCCTTTCCCTTTCAGCATGCCATGGATCGCTTGGGTATTACTACTGAAGAAAAGTTAGAAGTTTATAGTCTATTGGCCGCTTGCCTTTTGATCGGTGAAATCAAGTTCGGTGAACGCAGTGGCCTCGACATGAGCTACGTTGACGGGAAAGCAGGTAGGCTTATTCTGGTGGTTATGCTACACGGTGCGCCAAAAGTACACCCTCGTGACACCTCAAGATGAGGCGTGTCAGAGGTGCTAGCGCCCCACCCCTTCTTTCTCCAATTGTGGAAGATGGGAGGCGACCTCAAACAATCAGAGGTCGGGTTTGGTGCGTTGCCAGCGCAAACCTGGCTGGCAACGCACCAAACCCGGGCCCTTAGCGTCCGCCGCGAACAAGACTGTGCAGACGTTATCTCTCCAAACGAAAGGGCTTGTTTGGGAAGGGGTGGGTTGGACTGTAGCCAGGGCAGCCTTTTCCACCATTTACTGGGTCCTGAAGTGAGACCGCAACAGCCGATAGGAAAGGCTACCCTGGCGGCGCTGCTACCTACACAGGGTACAGCATTGTCATGTGTGAAATGGTGATGTCAGTACGACCCCCCCCCTCGCGGAAAGGGTCTGGTACGCCCTGCCTAAGGGAGAGTCTCTTCGGTACGACCCCCTCCCCCTTCCCCAGCACCTACCTACAAATTTCCCACATTTTCTGGTTTTTCGCCCAAAAACTGAATGTTCTCTCGGGAGGGGTTATATAGTACACATGAAAACAGGAAAGTCAGAATCACGAGAAGGTCAACGCGGCAATTTTTTTTCAAAGCCACATACGGCTCCCCCTCCCTCTCTCCCAACAAAACCAAATACGATCCCCTACCCAGCGGGAAAGTACGACCCCTCGCCCCATGTGTTTCCACCCATCGATGCTGTACCCTGTACCTACATACACTCTGTGGTCCGCGATGAGGGGTGTCGGACTTGCCGGCTCAGCGTCGCTCGTGACAGCGGTATCAAGGATTTCTGCTCCTTTCTAGTATTACTCGACTTCGTCAGGCTTCATTTCCGTTAGCTGAAAGCCACTAGGTTCCGAATATAAACTGAATTTTTCGTTGGCAGAGACTACCAATAATTCCAAGTGCCAATTATGCCACGCGATTCACTGAATATGCCATTACGGCCAATCTATCTCCTGGTCACTGAGTGTACGTCCTTTCGTATGGGAGACGGGCAAGAGACTCGTAACTCGCCGCTCCGCGCGCGCGGCGATGGGCGC